CCACCTGGAGAATCCCCCCCCCCCCCCCCCCCCCGGCCTCAAGTTATGATCCTAACTCAAACTCTATACCTATGTATTTCCTTAATCCTAATCGATAAAAAAATGACCAAACCCTAAGCATTCACCTCAGCCTAAAACTTAACACATAATCAAAACCAACTCTAGACTTAGGTTTCAGCCTAACCTTGACCATAACACTAACCCTAATCCTAGCCTTAATCCTAACCCTGATCATAACACTAACTCTAATTCTGAATCTAACCCTAGCCCTAACCTTAGCCCTAACGCTAACCCTAACCTTAGCCCGAACGCTAACCCTAACCCTAGCCCTAACGCTAACCCTAACCTTAGCACGAACGCTAGCCCTAGCCCAAACTCTAACTCTAGCCCTAACTCTAACCCTAGCCCTAACGCTAACCCTAACCCTAGCCGTAACCCTAACCATAATCTTAACCTTAGCCAGAACGCTAACCCTAACTCTAACCCTAGCCCTAACGCTAACCCAAACCCTAACCCTAGTCGTAACCCTAACCATAACCCTAACCCCAGCTGTACCTTAAGAGGTGTGTGCGTGGGGGGGGGGGGGGGAGATGTCCTCCTTGGCGGGGGGTAAATGACAAGGGGTAATTGCTTCAGGGGGGGAGAGAACTAATAATCTGTAAGTCCTACTATTCAATACATTTGGTTAACACAATGTCGTCACACATGTAAAACAAAATAAGCAGTGTTTTTATTATTTGTATCCTTAAAAAATGCAAAATAAATCCTACGCCATTAACTCAACCCTCTTTTTTCTCGTTACATATCGTCACATAAAGCCACCGCCCAAAATGATGGTGACGTCAATATACAATCATAAAGTGGTCACCCATTAACGAAGACTCACTCTTCAGACGATTTTGCACCCAACCCCCCTTCTCTAATTGTAACACATTTTCACAAAAAGCCAGATCTTGATCGCTTCCCCCCCCCCCCATTACTCTCTTTAAAAACACCACACCTCAACACAACCCCCTCCGCCGTTCCCATGAAACTGCATTTTTACTTTCTCGTATATACGAAGTATAGAGAAAGTCTTGTAATCGTGCAAAAAAAAAAATCGAGATTTTTTACAAATCTCGACGTTTTACACCTCACTGATACGGAAAAACATAATTTTGCAATCTTGTCCGTATGTCTGTGTGTGTGTCTGTGTGTAAACACGATTACTTGAGTACCGTTACAGCTAGGTTGATGAAATTTCATATATAAGTATTTTATCAAAATCGTAGATCCGTATAAACTTTTGAGTGATTTCCGATAACCGAAAGTGGTACTTTTTCTACTTTGAATTTTTCGAAAGCCTATACCTTGAGTACTATTTCAGATAGATAAATGAAATTTCACATGTCAGTAAAAGATCTAATTCTCCACCTTCTGTCCAATTTTGAGTAATTTCCGTTGACAGGAAGTACTAATTTACGCTATTTCCGATTTCTCAAAAAACGCACGTAAATTTAGAAAGTACTAATAATGTTACGCACTATTATGCACATCTTTATTTGACGTTCACTTGGTGTGCAATTCTTTTTTCTACGAGGTTTTATTCTATTTTAAAAAGTTTAAGTATTTAAAATGGATTAAAAATCATGTCTATATCCCGAGTTGCCATTCCCCGTAGTGTTATATTAGAATATTCGAGAAAGTTTAGGGCAGATCACTCCCGGTTTATTATAATATGTACTGACCTCGATAAACATTGAGTTAATAAATGAATTAATACCAAAAGCAATCTTTTAAAGCCCGAAATAACGGATGAAAGCAAAAATGTGTCGTCACACTTTCCGATCGTCCTTTCCCATAAATGAAAAAAAAGCCTGAACATACTAAAGGAGAGTATGGATGTTGATGGAGGATCCCAACGTTAAAAATTAAAGCAGCGCAAAATTTCAGGAATCCATGTTACATATTATTATTTTCCGTAGGTATAACAAAGGTATTTACACTGTGTTTTATATTTTACGAGCCGCTATCATACGCCGCTATTTAGTTGTTTCATTTTCTACTTTTCAGTAATTCATAATTTGTGAATTCGACAGTAACAATGCTGCCACTGAAAATATTTGCTTTAAAACACTATCAGTAGCTCGTTAAGGACGATAACCCCCCCCCCCTCCCCACCCTCCTTTCCCAAAAATCCTACCCCCCCTCCTCGTGAAAGCAGCCCCCTCTGAGTTACCTCCACTAAGTTTAAAATCGTTTCAAACTAAATTATCTGCCCCTAATAGCTGTCACTAAACCCGACTCTACGATTGTAAACATTTAGCTTGAACCACAGCTCACCAGACCATGTAGGGATGGGGGTGGTAGGGATAGAGAGAAAGAGAGGGGGCTGCTAGGGGCGCTTACAGCTTGGTGTTTTCTATGGTATCCATGAAGAGAATTATTTATATAGAAGAAATATATATTAAACCAGCGTACCCGTCCCGCGCGTTGCTGCGGTCTCAGAAGACAGACTGACGCAATATTTTAAGAGGATTCCATAATTACATTAGCAATCACGTATTTTTTTACGCTTGACATTGATTTGTAAATCTAAACAATTTAAATGTAATCAAAGCCGGTGTTATATTGCTTTCATCATAGTTGTTGAGGCGCAAATTCTACCGCACACAGTAGCCCATTGTATCCATAATGTATCGCACTCTTTAAAACGAACGTAGGCGCAATAGTGTTTATGAGGGACCCACACAGGGGCGCTAGACCACACGCCAGTGGTGCAGTAGACAAAAAATTTCCCTACTGTAGGGCGCTCTTTTAAAACTCATAGTGTTCCTCCCGAAGCCAGTGGCGCACCGGGTCAAACGAATTGTCATCGAATGTCGTGTGCCACAGGGTCAATATTGTAGAGTGCTCTTTAACACAACCTTAGGATATCCCAGGGCGCCAAATCGCATCCTGCCGGGGCGCCGGCAGACGCGCCTGATTCCATATAGTCAAAAATTATTGTTGCCCATCGTGTCTTTAGTGTATAAATTTAAAAAAAAAAAAACGAACGTAGGCGTCATAGTGTTCACATGGTAGCACGGGGCGCTTCGGGTTACGTAATATCCGGGGCGCCGGCGGCTGCGCCTGTTGTTGCTTTTTTACCTTAGCCCCCATGCAGTTTTATTATCGCCGCCCTGGATTTTCAGGCGCCAAGCCGTTTATTAACAAAAATCGCACCCTCCAGGGAAACGCCCATAATAAATTTTAATTTTTGTTTTCGCAGAAACCTTCTCGTGAGTGTTTTCATTAACTCTCGAAAGTTTAACGGCACTCAGATAAACGATGTCAAACAGCATCCGTTTTGTTTTTTACAAACTGTGTAGAGAAAAATTGCACCCTCCAGGAGCGCCGCCCTGTTAAAATAAAAAAAAAACCTCCCCTGAAGTTTTATGGCGAGCGGATGAACGGGATTAAACCGCTATCTACTTTTACGTATATATACCCTATATAGGGATCTATATATAGAATCGATATATTTATTGCTACATTTGGTGACTTCCCATTTTCCCCAATGGCGTCAAATTTTGCACATAATCCACCTATTAATTCATGTGAAAAAAAGCATTGTTTTCATCGTAAAATATTAGATTTTGGTATCAGCCTCTCTCCGGTCGTCGCTTAGCAAATCTGTTATCCAAAAATTCAACAAGCATGTATTTACCTGTACATTTTGCAGTTTGTGTCATCTCCCCTCACCCCCCCCCCTGGGTGATAGTTTTTAAACGTGCACAGTTAATTGTATATTTTTTTTTAAATCTGCAGTCAGTTATTAGTACAGTTAACTCTCATTAGTCATTTATTGAACTGGCAAAATGCTTACTTCTTCTATATATTTTGCTATTTTTCGCCATGGTGTCACCCCCGAAATTTTGCCACCTTGCGCAGTCCTCAGCCCCGCCCCCCAACCTTGTGACGCCTCTGGTTAGGGGTACTACTTGAGTACAGTAAATATGTATATGTATATATATATATATATATATATATATATATATATATATATATATATATATATATATATATATATATATATATATATATATATATATATATATATATATATATATATATATATATATATATATATCGGGGGAGGGTATAGCCCCTTGGCACACCTTGTACCTACGCCACTACATAATCATGTTCTTAAGATTATATAGCACATTCTATGTATAAATTCGATAAAAATAGCTATTACGTATTCTGCAATTTTATATTTGTAATAACATATTGTAAACGAAATGAGTCTTAAATTCGATTAAAAAATGGGCTTTTATATTATGTATTTTTTCTATTATGCAATCATATCATGTATTACTTGTTGTATAGCCTAGATTCTATAATAATATACTAATATATTCTATATTACATAATCCTATATTATATCGTTTAGTAATCTCTACCCTAATGTTTTCTGTACCGAATAATCAATATTCTGTAATTCTAAATTGTGTATAAATTAATCATACAATCTCTAAAATTAATCATAACTATGATCACAATTAAATTCAGCAATCCACTGTATTAATTTATATTGCTAAAAATAATTTAATTTTCAATTTTAAAGACAGAAGATACATTTTTTATAATATTAATTATTATTAGCTCTGTAAAATGAATTGTTGTTTAATTTTTCTTATATTAAATATTGTAAGCGATTAATTAATCGAAATGGTTTTATTCCGTTAGCTAGTTTTTACAGTTTATAACTATAATTAGAGTCTCAACGACAGAATCAAATGAGAAAAAATCTATAGCGTTATTATATACCGACACTGTTGATAAACAACTCAACGACAGTGTCGTTGAGAATAGTGTAGGATCGGCTGGTTGTTCTACTTGTTTGTTATTGTTTCCTACTTTTATTATACTCTAGCTCTAGCTGCTAGCTAGTGTCACTCTAGCAAACTTAAATCACAACTAAATGAGTAAATGTCAAATGAAAAAATGAGAAATATTCAAAATAATAGGCCTACCATTTAGAATTTAGCTTAGTTCTAGAATAGGGACACACTGAATTCACTAGTCTAGATCTATTCTTTTCTTTTGCTTATCATCTCGACTCAAGTCACATGATCAAAATAAAATGTCTATAAAAAGCATGTTTAAAAAGGGGGCGTTACTATGAATACAAAAAATATAGACAGCGATAGGCCAGCTTAGCGAGTTAAATGCGGGAAATGTGTATCTTGCTAGACATTTTTTTTACTGCAATCAAGAACGAGCATTCGGTTGAACTACCGCAGAACAGAGTTTCTTCCAGGCATCTCTTCGGGGGGCTCTGCCCCCCCCCCCAAACGAAATTTAATTTATATAGAAAATATATACTTTTAACAGTGTCCGCCCCCCCCCCCCCGAAGAGAAGTCTACATTTCCCCCAACCCCCCCCCCCCCGGAGCAAAATTGAGATTTTCAACACAAATGTCAAGGCAGTATTGCTCTATGGCTCGGAGGGTTACAAAGACAAATACTGATAGGCTAGAGTCGTTCATAAACAAATGCTTACGACATATACTTAAAATAAGATGGCCAGACAAAATATCAAACAAAGACCTGTGGCAAATTTTAAAGCAACAGCCAATAGAAAAATATATCAAGGCCCGTAATTTCAATTTGGCGCCCCTCGGGAGAAATTTTTTTTTATTTGCACCCCCGTCAAACTATTTATAATGCAAAAATGCAGCTAAAATGACATTTTAATTTGTTTTTACAACCCATTTTGGCGCCCCCTGAGGTCGGCGCCCGGGGACATATGTACCCCCCTGCCGCCCCCCCCCCCCCCCCCATAGCTACGCCTCTGCCCGTAAATGGGGATAGATCGGACACACGTTAAGAAGGGAAAAAGAAAATATTGCAAAACATGCTATGGACTGGAATCCCCAGGGAAAAAGGAAAGTGGGCCGGCCACAGAAAACATGGAAAAGAACGGTTGAGGAAGAGGCAAAAACAGCTGGGCTCACATGGGCACAGGTTAAGGGAGCAACCCAAAACCGAGTCCGCTGGAAATGTGTAGTTGCAGCCCTTTGCTCCACAGGGGCCACAAAGGAATGATGATGATGATTTTATCAAGATGACTTTCGACGAAAAGTTTACGTACTAATCAAAGCAAATATTGTTTTTCCGTCCAAGGGGGGAATAGCCAAGCCAGGATGACTGGCGAAATAATTGAGTACAGTCCCTTTATAAGGAACCTGGATTAGCCCGTCTCTATTAAATTTGACAAGGGGTCATCCATAAATGACGTCACGCTTTTTTTTGACGATTTTTACCTCCCCCCTCCCCTCCGTCACACATCGTCACAAAAAGCCAGACCCTCCCCCCCTAAATTACTTCACACCTCAGCCTATAACCCCCACCTCAAAATTGCAGTTGAATTTTTCTTAAAAAATCGATATTTTTCCAAAATCTTGTCTGAACTCTGTCAAATTAGAGTATTTTAATCGATTCCTATTTCAAATTATCAAAACAGTTTTCTAAAACGCAAAATAACGTCTAAATTTGTTTTCTAACATTGCTTTTTACTTTCTCGTATATACGAAGTAGCCTATAGAGAAAGTCTTGTAATCGTGCAAAAAAAAAATCAAGATTTTTACAAATCTCGACGTTTTACACCTCACTGATACGGAAAAACATAATTTTGCAATCTTGTCCGTCTGTCTGTGTGTCTGTCTGTCCGTGTGTAAACACGATAACTTGAGTACCGTTACAGCTAGGTTGATGAAATTTTTCATATATAAGTATTTTATCAAAATCGTAGATCCGTATCAACTTTTGAGCGATTTCCGATAACCGGAAGTGGTACTTTTCCTACTTTGAATTTTTCAAAAGCCTATAACTTGAGTACTATTTCAGATAGATAAATGAAATTTCACATGTAAGTAAAAGATCTAATTCTCTACCTTCTGTTATATTTTGAGTAATTTCCGTTGACTGGAAGTAGTACTTTACGCTACTTCCGATTTCTCAAAAAACTAATGTAAATTTTAAAAGTACTAATAATATTGCGCACTATTATGCGCTTTTTTATTTTACGTTCACTTGGTGTGCAATTAATTTGTCTACGAGATTTTATTCTATTTTTAAAACTTTAAGTATTTAAAATGGATTAAAAATTATGTCTATAGCCCGAGTTGCCATCCCCTGTAGTGTTATATAAGAATATTCGAGAAAGTTTAGGGTAGATCACTCCCGGTTTATTTATAATGCAAAAGTGTGAAGTCGCGCCATCTGAACCCCCCCCCCCCATCATCACACACCGTCACAAAATTACGGACCCCCCTCTCTCCCTACGTCATTTATGCACGACCCCCAAGTTAATAAAAAATCAATTAGCTAAAATTAACACATTTTTAAAATGCAACACTCTCCAGACCCTTTTGTGACCTAAGGCAGAATTTCCCATGGTAGAGTTTCATTTTGCATGATAGTATTATTAGTATGAGGCCATGTTGTTTGCTAGCGTCAGTCAAGTATGTTGAGATTTAATCCGATGGAATGTTTGGTTGTTTTTCCTTCCTAACTGTATCTCCAGTGGGGGGAAAGAGAGCACTTCAAACTTTGAAGGGGTATGGGTATATCTTTACTAAATAAATTTTTTTTTTCAGAAGCGATTGTTTTACTTTAAATAGTTTAAAAGTCCTTTGGAAGCATATTTAAGGAATTTTCACAAATAGGATGTTGTTATACAACAATTTAAATGAACTAGATTCTAGATCTATTCCATTTTTTTAAACATGTGATTTGTTTTGTAAGTAAATTATCACATGTAGCAAATATTATCTATTACCAGATCAGTATATAGGCCTATATGGTGACCTACTGAGGGAATTCTGCTTGCCCTTTTAAGTTTAAGGAACAATGTAATTTTACATGATCATTTTGTAATGAATTTTTTTTTCATTTAGACTTGGGCAACTATAGAGAGGGAACTACGGAAGAAACACCCAGAGAACTTCACAACTCGGCACAACTGTGCAAACCCCACTGGGTCAGCAGGGACCAAGGAAGCTCCAAAATATGTCACCTTATGGGGATACTTCAATAGAAAAGGAAGAATGTGTAAATCATGTCTCCAAAAGACTGGGGACCAAGGAAACTCCAAAATATGTCACCTTACTTTCTCCAAAAGACTTGGGACTGCTCTGTGAAGCTTACTATCCAATGAGAAGAAAAGAGGGGTGGCATTATGGAAGCTTGACACGATATTGTTTCACTAACTACACATTTTTACCTTGTATTTTGAGTTCAGCAATTTTCTTAGATGCCTAAGTCCTAATAAAAATTGTATTTCTACAGGCATAGATTGTAACCCTACAGATATACTATAAGAATGCAATCCTGAGTGAAAATTCTTCAACATCAGTGCTCAAGGATAAAAATCTGGGCAACTTTTTATCACTCGTCGACAGATGCTGAACCCAGACACCACCTCTGCCCAAAAGGAATCCAGTCGTGGTGTTTTTTTAAACAAACCAATAGCTTTGGGTGAAACTGTGACTAGCCACAGATCGAGCTTGAAATACCTGAATCAAACTGTGGCTAAATTTGTCAAGCTAATCTATGAAAGGCTGAATAATGAAAAACATTTGTCACGATGCCTGATGGGAATGACCCAGAAAGCCAATGAATATTTTCATTCAGTTGTGTGGACCTACTCTCCTAAATATATTTTGGTAGGTGCAAAGAGAGTGGCCATAGCCACAGCACTTGCAAATTTTAATAGACTTAGAGGGTCCAAAGGAATGATAGATTTTGTGAAGGCAGTAGCTATTCAAATAACATGCAGATTAGTGGGGTTAGGAGAGATAAACTTAGGGTTGTGAGGGTAGTATGAATTAGCTGAGGTGAAGCATTGGGAGGGCAAAAGAACTTAAAGATTGCACATTAGCATGGAGAAAGGTTTAGCAGTTGTAGAGTGGAGGGACATCTTTATTTAGCTGGGGGTGTGGATTAGGGTGGGTTTTTTTGTTTATCATTGATGAGTTTGGTAATGAATCAAAATATATTGCTCTCAAGCATATTTAACAATTAGTTGAATTAGATTTGTAAATCATCAATTGTAATAGATTGAAATAATTGTGAGGTCAAGGGAACTCACTCTTCTGTATTAGTATTATATTTATATTGTTATCTTGAGTGATGTCCCTTACATGTTGTTATGTATATAAGTCTCTCGCCACTTCTCACTTGCTCTCTCTTACCAACATGGCGTCTGTACATAATAAAGATTGTTAACAACCAACGCGGCTTCTCGTCAGTCATTACAATCCACCTCATTTGGCGACGAAGGATAAACATCTACTAGAAAGAGCACCTATTTACGCAAAAAAGAGGTTTGCTAGAGCTTATTAGCTAATTATTTCTAGAATTATGGCGCTGTATGGCCAAATAAAACAATTTGATGCGAATGATGAAATCATTCAAGATTACCTAGAGAGGTTAAGCTTTTACCTAGAAGCTAACGACGTGACGATAGAAGCCAAAAAGAGAGCTGTTTTGTTAACAGTCATAGGGCCTCAACAATTTAGGCTACTAAAAGACTTATGCGCACCAGCCAGTCTAAATACCAAGAGCTTTAACGAGCTGAGCAAATTGCTAACAGACCACCATGCGCCTACCCCATCAAAGTTTCTATGTCGAGCTAGATTTGACAGTAGGACTCGTCAACCAAACGAGTCAATATCAGAATATGTTGCTGCTTTACGTCATTTAAGTGAATTTTGTGAATTTGGAGACACGCTGTCTGACAGATTATGTGAAAAGTTTGTGACAGGTGTAAACAGCCCTGATATTCAAAGAAAGTTGCTGCTCGAGTCAGATCTAAAATTGGAAAAAGCAATACAACTTGCAACTTCAATCCAGCAGTCATCAGATGCGGCGAAATCTCTAACGCCTTCAGGGATCCATGCAATAAACAGCAGGTTAGTCAATAAACATCAACCCCATCAGAGCATTCCAACTTATGCTAAACAGCCTGCTCGTTCAAATCCTAGATCTAAATCTAGCAATAATTATCAAAAATGTCATCGATGCAAAGGTCCCCATGCATCTCATCGGTGCAAGTTCAAG